TGAGGTGGCCACCTGTCCCAACATTCAAAAGCTGGTATGATTTCTGCCAGGCTTCCCCATACCATTTTAATCACCCAGTTTTTAGTTGCTAGAATGCTGACATAGCAACCAATGACACTGTGGCCCAGCCATCAGCATCCTAGCAACCAGTGACACTTTGGGGCAGCCAGCACTATAACAACCAAGTATGCTGTGTTGTGGTCCAGCCGCTAACATCCTAGTAACCAACTCAGTAATGCTGCTCTGTGTATACCACCATTAAAGTCAATGGCAGCCAAATATGTCAATTTTAAATATGTCCTTTTTATGAGCTAATAGGCAAGTGGGTGTTAAAGAAAATGAAAACTCATACAAATGAGCGCAGAGAGGCCACTCCAGGTGGAAACATGTGAACAGTTAATCATGAGCTCACCACTGCTGCCTTGTTAATCATATGCATGATGAAGAGAACTGGAAAAAAAAGACGCTGTGGAAAATGCTCTCAGACAAGCACCTTAGTGAAGGTACATCTTTATTTGGTGAAACAAAGTAGCAAATATAATAAAATTGACTAGCCTGAAGTGGACAGTGTGACTCCAATGGACGCCAATGGACGGCCCGTCTGCTCTGAGGGGAGCTGAGATCAGAGAATGCTCCTGTCGGCTTCAAATCACGTGGTGTCAGCGTACCAGCGTCCTGGGTGGTGTCACCATGGCAAGGGAAGGCAGTGTCCGGCGTTGGCTTCAGCTGGGATTATATGTAGGGTTACCAAGACGACATGTTTTTCGCACAGTTGCGCTTTGTTAAGACTTGACAAAGCGAAACATGTCGTCTTGGTAACCCTACATATGCTCCCAGCTGAAGCCAACGCCGGACACTGCCTTCCCTTGCCATGGTGACACCACCCAGGACGCTGGTACGCTGACACCACGTGATTTGAAGCCGACAGGAGCATTCTCTGATCTCAGCTCCCCTCAGAGCAGACGGGCCGTCCATTGGCGTCCATTGGAGTCACACTGTCCACTTCAGGCTGGTCAATTTTATTATATTTTGTCTCACCCAATAAAGATTCACTAAGGTGCTTGTCTGAGAGCATTTTCCACAGCGCCTTTTTTTTCCAGTTCTCTGTTAAAGAAAATGGCATGGGGAAGGGGGTGGTATAGAGGAAAATGTACCAAAAAAATTTTTATTCAGTCAAGAACAGTTATTTTCAAAACTCGTTCTGCAGTTCTATGACCCGTTTTCAGCCGACAGCAGGCTAAAGTCTGCTGTCAGCTGACATCACTCATACAGTCCAGGCTGGGATAAGATCCCTACTTTAAAGTCGGGATCCACCCAGATGTCTGGACTGGCACCTGACTCAGCGTCTCAGCAATCTGCTGAGAGCCTGAGCCAGCCACGTCCGCCAACTCCACAGGTCAGCGTTCAGTGAGCACGTGCGGAGAGGGGGGGGGGCAGAGCAAAGAGCTGTGACTGACAATCACAGCTCTCTGCTCAGGGAACACTGAGACCTGAGCGATCAATTGTCTTTGATCACTCAGTTCTCAGTCTTAGAGCAGGCGGGGGCAGATGCAACATCCACCTAGTTAAGTATCATTTCTAGAAAAAAAGAAAACTAAACTTCTCTTTTAAGGTGAAACATGCCCAATTGCTTTAAATGACATCGAGAGGGGTGACATAATCCTGCTAGCAAAGGGGTGCATCTCTGTGATGTACAGAAAGTGCTGCAGCAGCACTGACATTTACAAAGTAAAAAAAGTGTTTAAAATTGTTGACAAATGACATATCAGTGCAAATGTCCTTTTTGCTGTAGCACATCCTACAGTAAGAATGAAAAAAAAGTGCATCCTCCCAAAATGCATACCAAACACTTTGAGTCTGGTATGGATTTTAAGGAGGTACCTCATGCAAAATAAAAAGACAAAAAATGTATGAGGTACCCCCAGGAAATGGTTTTGCACAGTGCAACCCTAATCCCCCTCTTCTCGGTTTGCCCTGCCAGCGCTTCAGGCCCCTCCACCTTGCAAAGTGCCCCAATAGCAAGCTGCTTGCTATGGGGGCACTCGTGCATGCTCACTTCCGAGCCAGGTCTGTGTGTCTATGGGACACACAGAGCACGGCTCAGCCCCATCCCCCAAGAGAGCTGGCGCTCTCGTTCACATTGCTGGATCAGATCAAACACAGGTAAGTATTGGGGGGGGGGGACGACTGCATACTGAAGGTTTTTTACCTTACTGCTTACTTTAAAGTGTACTTCCACTTTTGCAGCCAACTTGGGACAATACTTTATATTGGTTATAGGTTGTAATCATGGGGCCCTCATGGGGCAATAAGGGATCATGGGGCCCCTGTGTCCTCACCAACACCCAAAAAAGCCTATGAAAAAGCCAATGAAAGGTACCAGGGGCATCTCATGGGGCCCCCTACTGACGCCGGGCCCTCGGGCAGTGCCCAATTGTTTGAATGGTCAGTCCCACCCCTGGTTTTAATTCATACTGTATAGCACATTTAAAAAAAAATAAATAAATACTGCTTACCATTTCAGATGCTGTTTTCTGATAACTCTGGCACTGAAAAGCCATGTTTAGTTCTCTTTGTTAATGAGGTGGCTGGGGAGGTAATGTTTAACATATTCAGCCCTATCTGCACTCTGCTGGAAGATATCATTATCAGTTGTAAACTTTAACCATTTGCCTACTGGGCACTAATACCCCCTTCCTGCCGAGGCCAATTTTCACCTTTCAGCGCTCTCACACTTTGAGTGACAATTGCTCAGTTCCAGGCAGCAGGCAGAGATGTGGTCAGCAGCAGCCAAAGGAATTGTCCAGTCAGAGACATGGTCAGCAGAGCCAAAATATTAGTCCTGGTAGAAAGCAGGAACATGGTACAGATAGCAGGCAAAGATGCGGTCAGTTTATGTGGCAGGCAGAGGCATGATGGCAGAAAATATCAGGCTTAGGGACTTGAGGCATGTATATGTATGTATATGTTTTAATTTTTTAGGCATGCTATGTGAATAGGAACATATTATAAACATATAATGGGGTTTTCTCAAATGTCACTTCAAATGTGAAAATACACTTTAAATCTGTGCTTTAGTAATGTCTTTCTCAGTTCTCTGTTTTATTTCTGTGGTTCTGGGTGGTGTTATATCATGTCATAAGATCCCATACTGTGAAATCTCCCGCATGTTGGAGCAAAGCTGTAGTGGGCCCAGATAAAACAGGAGAGCGAGAAGAATTGGCTACAGTTTTCACAGTCTTAGATTAAGGTCCATTCACAAAATAGGAATAGGAGCCAATCAGCTAGTCCATGTTTCCTGAGCCAGTTAAATGTTAATGTCTGAGTGAAATATGCCTATAAAATAGACCTTTTTATACTTTCAAAGCATTTGTTACCCCAAACTTTCACATTCCTGATGAGTATCTTGTACCATGTAATTGTGTTTAAATGTATCCTGTTCTCTTTGTATTTCTTCCTTTGTGTGAAATTCCTTGTAATCCTTCTAGTGCCCCTGCTTTCCTATATTACTGACCACGCTAGATATAAAAGCACAACCATCCCAGCATGGCCAGTTTTCAGGCTGTGCTGAGAGCAAATCTGCCTGTCCTTCAATGGTCAGACGTGCTGACACACCCCTCTGCACAGCAAATCACTGGCAAGATCTGTGTATTGCTCTTTCTATGCCTCTTGCTGACACACACCCCTGTAGTCTCCACCCCCAGCTCTCTAAACCCCTTATGCATCTGAGAACAGAGGTTATGTGATCACCTAAAAAAAGAAAAAAAAAGTATTTATAATGTGTTTTTATTTCTATGCAGAAATGTTTTGCCTTGCAGTTCTTTTTCTGCACTACATTTGAGCGCCACACACAAAAAATGCAACTTGATTCATAGTTAATATTCAAATCAAACTTACCCAACCATCCTTGTCTCCATGCTTTTTTTTTTTTTTAGAAATCATTTTGAAAAAAACACCCCTAGCATTTCCATTTCTGGCAGTGGCCATCTTGAGTAAGGGCAGATGATTCATGTAGCATTTACTTCCTGGAATCCATCTGCCCTTAGATCAGGTGTTGGATAAGCTGAGAACCCTCCCCTCCTGAAGATTGCTGGGATGTATGACATCATTTGCCTAGGCAGAAAACCAGGAAGTAACTGAAGAAATGTAAAAAAAAAAAATTTAAAACAAGTAAATATGACATACTTTCCTATCCAGGGGCGGACTGACCATTTGGAAACTCGGGCACTGCCCGAGGGCCCGGGGTCAGTAGGGATACCCCATGAGATGCTCCTGGTACCTTTTTCATAGGCTTTTTTGAGTTTGGGCAAAGACACAGGGGCCCCATGATCCCCTATAGCCCGGGGGCCCCATGAGTTGTCAGTCCGCCCTGTTCCTATCTATTTACTAATGCTGGCAGCATAATGATTAAAAATAGTCCATGTTGATTGAGTACCGATTCAAACTGAATGTTGTTGCCTTAATAGGTAAAGGGGTCACTTATACTTTAACTGAAAGGTGGCTGCATCTTTTTAAATCTAAAAAATTTGGATTTTCCAAAATTCAGATGCCACTTTCACTTAAAAAAAAATCAAACTATGACAGCCCATCCCTCCAACCTCCCAAGTCTCACCATGGTCTATAATTGTGAAAGGCAGTCTCACCGACTGCTAGCGAGGACTGGAACCTCCACCACTCAAAGTCAAATAACCTAAAATGGCATTTTACAAAAGAAAAAGCAATTGTAGAAAAAAAACAACCTCGACGCCAGCTTTGGACTCTTCTAGAAGATGCAGGTGACATTACTGGTTCCTGGGATAGCTGGGGGCTCGAAATCTCACAAGATTGCACTCAAGTCCATTCGAAGGGTGGATTCTCCCTGGATTTTGAAAACCTGTGTTTCCCAGGAAAATTTGCTTTTCTTTCTACAGAAGTGAAGCAGCTTGTGAGGTGGGCAGCTGCACGTTAGAAGGGGCATGTTTGTGCTCTGTACTATGAAGAACACTTAAAGTGTTACTAAACCCTGGACCCTGCATTCACTATATCCAGTCTCCCCGGACCCTGCATTCACTATATCCGCTCTCCCCGGACCCCGCATTCACTATATCCGCTCTCCCCGGACCCTGCATTCACTATATCTGGTCTCCCCGGACCCTGAGTCTCCCCCCTGCATTCACTATATCCGCTCTCCCCGGACCCCGCATTCACTATATCCGGTCTCCCCGGACCCTGCATTCCCTATATCTGCTCTCCCCGGACCCTGCATTCACTATATCCAGTCTCCCCGGACCCTGCATTCCCTATATCTGGTCTCCCCGGACCCCGCATTCACTATATCCGGTCTCCCCGGACCCTGCATTCACTATATCCGGTCTCCCCGGACCCCGCATTCACTATATCCGGTCTCCCCGGACCCTGCAATCACTATATCTGGTCTCCCTGGACCCTGCATTCACTATATCTGGTCTCCCTGGACCCTGCATTCACTATATCCGCTCTCCCCGGACCCCGCATTCACTATATCCGGTCTCCCCGGACCCTGCATTCACTATATCTGGTCTCCCAGGACCCTGCATTCACTATATCTGGTCTCCCAGGACCCTGCATTCACTATAACTGGTCTCCCTGGACCTTGCATTCACTATATCTGGTCTCCCACAGTACACACAACATGGAAATTAAATTATTTTAGGAAATATAAACTGCTAAATACCTTTTCTTATCAGCAGTTAGAGCAGTCTTGGGACTTCAGCTGAGCACTGGTTAAAGCTTGTAGGAGTTTTCTTTCTGCTCTAGGAGGATGTAAAACCCCTGACCTCTGTCTGGACAGTGCTGATTAGCCCTGTGCTGATCACATGCACAATCCCAAGAAAAAAAAAAAAACCTCTCTAGCAATACACACCAAAACGAGCATGTGCATGTGACCAACGGTTCAGCCTGTATCAGGTAGTCATTTCAACAAGAGGAGGAGCAGAGAAGAAAGGATCGAACAGCCTTTTTACACAGTGCGGAGGATTAACCCCTTAGGTTCCACAGTGAGTATAACAAGCATGCTTTGCTGCATATACAGACTGATTTTACTGTTGTGGGTTTAGTAAAACTTTAATAAAAATTTTGAATAATAAAAAAAATAAATAAACACTGGAGGTTTATTACTACCTTAATTCACCAGAAGCACAATGCGTTTGGCCATTGACACAAACCCTTAAACTAATAGCACTGTGCAATGCAATAGAGCAGGTCTGGCCCACATCTCTGGTTCCTCCTCTTGCAGCCTGAAGTCCTGCTGCATAGGGGTATATGTGAAGCAAATGTTAAATCTGATTTCTGTGCTTACACTAACTGTAATTAAAAACATCAATGAAACTTATCAATGATAATAGATTAAAGTATGATAATTACGCACATTGTTTTTTTTATCTCAGTGCAGATTCCTCTGTTGGTTGCTTGAAAATGCATTCAGTACCAAATCCTTTGTCTGATCATCCCTGGTTTGCTCTGGAAAAGAGTTCGCTGGATGTCATCGTTAACAGTGTCAGTTTTTTATTGGATGTACAATGAAGCACGTTGTATCTATCAAAGATTAGCTTGATCCAGAACTTTCATCATAATGTTACTACTTCTACAGTAAGGCAATAAGATGAATCTATTTATCCCAACCACGGCATCACCTGCCTGGAGTTTGCATGTTCTCCCTGTGCTTGCGTGGGTTTCCTCTGGGTACTCCGGTTTCCTCCCACACTCCAAAGACATGCTTGTAGGTTAATTGAATCCTGTCTAAATTGGCCCTAGTATGTGTATGTATGAATGTGAGTTAGGGACCTTATATCCGTACACCCCTTGAGGGTTAGGGACTGATGTGAATGTACAATATATATGTAAAGCGCTGCGTAAATTGACAGTGCTATATAAGTACCTGTAATAAATAAATAAACAATAAATATTTACCGTACCTTGCGTGTCTTCTTAGTTTAAAAACGTAGAAAATTTTTGTAAAAGTTCTGTTAAGCTTTCCTCGTTAAAGATAACCTTGTATATACAGCCATGTAACTGAGCTATACACTCAACGCCATGCAATAAAAAGTGATCAAAAGCAGTAAGAAACCAATGGAACTCTATTTTCCATTCACCAGCAAGAAAGCATATTCAGAGGCAGACTGACAACTCATGGGGCCCCCGGGCAATAGGGGATCATGGGGCCCCTGTGTCCTTGCCCAAACTCAAAAAAGCCTATGAAAAAGGTACCAGGGGCATCTCATGGGGCCCCCTACTGACCCTGGGCCCTCGTTTCCAAATGGTCAGTCTGCCCCTGAGCATATTACTACCACAATTACCACCAGCACCGGTGTCCCCAATGGTACATTTCCCAAGGTAACAGAGGTTCTATCCCTTATTATTTATTATTATACAGGATTTATATAGAGCCAACAGTTTGCTCAGCGCTTTACAATATAACAGGAGACAATACAGCAACAATACAGTTCCATACAAGAGGATTAGGTGGGCCCTGCTCCTTGGAGCTTACAATCTAAGAGCTAATGGTACAAAAGGTAATAACTGTGGGGGATGGACTGGTAGGAGGAGTAGAAGATTCCATTATTAACCGAGGGCAGGATAGGCTTCCCTGAAGAGATAGATTTTCAGAGATCGCTTAAAAGTGAGACCAGAGTAGGCGATAGTCTGATAAATTGGGCTAGAGAGTTTCAGAGGATTGGGGAAAGCTCTGGAGAAGTCCTGGAGACGAGCATGGGAGAAGGAACAAGGGAGATAGAGAGTAGGAGGTTTTGCGAGGAGCAGAGAGTACGGTTTGGGTGATATTTGGAGACCAGATTGGTGATGTAATTTGGGGCAAAGTTATAAATGGCTTTATATGTTATTGGTAATGTTTTGAATTTTATCTGTTGGGCAATAGGAAGCCAGTGGAGGGATTGGCAGAGAGAAGTGGCTGATACAGAACGGTTAGTAAGGTGGATGAGTCTGGCAGCAGCATTCATGATAGACTGAAGTGGGGATAGCCTGAGATGAGGTAGGCCAATGAGGAGGGAGTTACAATAGTCAAGGCGAGATATAACAAGGGAATGAATAAGTTGCTTAGTGGTTTCTGAGCTTAAGAACGGTCGTATCTTGGAGATGTTGCGGAGGTGAAGTCTACAAGATTTGGACAGCGATTGGATTTGGGTAAGAAAGGACAGATGGGAGTCTAGGATTACACCTAATACCCTGGCATGAGGGGAGGAACTGATGGTTGCGTTATTGATCTTATTGAGTTATTGAACCCTTTCAATCACACTATCCAAAATAAAGATAAATGGCTTTTCATTCCAAGTGGGCATCCCTATAAAAATGTGTCCGGTTTTCTAGATTCTAAAGAGTTAGGCAAATTTAGCCAGAAAAATGAAAAACCTCCAAAGGATGTGGTGTCGTTGAGTCAGTTCATCACCACCATTGCTTATGCATTTTACTATGAGATAAACTGACTGTAATTTTAACTTCTATTCAGAATACATCTCTAGCTGAATTAGTGGGATGATGGCCCCAACCTACCTACTAATTTGCATCTGTACAATAGTCAGAAAATTAGCAGCTTTTGAACTTTTGCTCTTTCTTGGTGAAAGGCCTGGTATGCTTTACAAATATTTTACAATGGTACCTCCCTTCATTACAAATGAAAAAAAGATGTTATACAAGAAACATTATATCTTTATATATTTCTTTTTTTTTTTAACCTGGTTTGTCAAATAAAAAAAAAGTAAATGTTGGCTTTTTTGTTGCTCAAAGCTTGGAACAATGAACAACTGTCAGTAGTCAATCCAGTTCAATTTCGTAAAGCCCAGTGGCCTTGGTGAAGGTGATCCTACTAAACTAAAGAGAGCACCCCTAACTTGGATCCCTAAGGTGTAAGTTCAAGAAATAAGAAGTTGCATAAAGAGCAGCAGACTAATACCAATCTAAGTATACTGGCAAATTTACTTTGGATACTATTTATATCAATTAAATCAACTTGTTTTGCTACTTTAACGACTTCATGTCCAGACACTTTTACCCCCTTCCTGCCCAGGCCAATTTTCAGCTTTCAGTGCTATCACACTTTGAATGACAATTGCGCGGTCATACAACACTGTACCCATATGAATTTTTTAGCATTTTTTTTGAGACAGCTAAAACTTTATTTTGGTGGTATTTATTCACCACTGGGATTTTCATTTTTTTTGCTATATAAATGAAAAAGTCTAAAAAGTTTGAAAAAAAAGTGTTTTTCTTATAAAAGTTTGCAAATAAATAATCTTTTTTCATAAATCTTGGCCAAAATGTATGCAGCTATCTTTTTAATAAAAAAATAACCCAAATTAGTTTATAACCAAAAATTATTATTTTTCTAATTTTTTTTTACATTTTTATTTTATTTTTTTATATTATTATTATTTATGGGGTTTTTTTTTCAACATACTGTCACTCTAGCAGTACAGTGTAACCATAGTGACACTGTACTACTTGTGGGGGGTGATGAAGATTTTTTTTGTTTTTTTTTCTTTTTCCACTGATTGCTTTACACCCATATAGGCTGTAAAAGCAATCATTTCTCCTTCTCTCTGACTGCATTCTTGCAGCCATTGAGAAATACTGTGAGAGCTGTGATTGGTCACAGCTTGTCACATGGTACAAGGCTGTTGTGAATAGCCTTGTACCATGTGATCTCTGTGATCATTCACAGATTTCACTAGCAGTAAGCAATGATGTTAGAAGTGACATCTTGCTTACTACTATTCATGTGATCACTGATTGGCCAATCAGTGATCACATGTTTGGGAGCTCACACAGAGGTCCCATACAACGACCGGTGTTCCGCTGTGTCCTCCCAGGGAGCGCGCACAGACTGAAAATGCGGGCTCCATTTATGAACGGCAACCCGCTCCTGCACTGCTCCCGTCCGGCCGTTTATGTACATGGAACGGACAGGAAGTGGTTAAGTCAATCTAACTAAACATTTAAATCCTAAATCCATGTTTACTGTGCATTTAAATAGCCAAGCTGGCCCAAACAAACTATTTCCTTTCCGAACAGGTGTGCTTGCTGGGGGCGATGTAAAAACAGTACGTAGCATCAGCTACATCGAGTATACAGCACTGTATTGAGGCAGCAGAACGGAAACTTCTTGTCCCACTCCCAGAACAAAATCGAACAGCCATTCACAGGGAGTTCTTTATTCTATGAATGAATACAAAGTTTCTTCTGACTGGCTGAGGCGGAGATCATGTCATCATCTGCCCACCTCTCTGCCCCAGCCAATCAGAGGAAACTTTGTATTCATTTTTAGAATACAAATCTTCCTGTGAATGGCTGAGCAGTGCTCAGCCTGTCTCAATTTTGTTCCGAGTGCAGAACAAGTCCACCTCCAGATGACATTCAAGGCCACTGTACCCTTAGAAACCTCCAAAAATCCACCTTAATTATCCCTTCCCCATCAATTGCA